GCAGGGAGCCTGATGTGGGACTCGATCCCGGGACTCCAGGATCATGACCTGAGCCGAAGGCAGTCGCCTAACCAACTGAGCCACCCAGGCGCCCTAGCGCGAAGCCCATTTGAGCACGTTTCTAACATTTGCAAACAAAAATCCTGACTAACAGATCCCATCTGTAAATGGGATCAAAACATTCTAACCTCAAACAACCTCAGAGCTCTGTTTTTAGGAATAAACGACTCTGCATATAGTGGATCGTGCTCAATAGATGACGGCTGTTACTAGCTGCTGTTAAGACCATGAAGGGGACCTGTGACTGGCGTCACTGTTGCCTTTGTGTCCAGTCTCCGTCCCTTGTGTGGGGAGGGGGCAGGGAGGGGTGCCACACACCTGCTTGGGGGGCTTGTGCCGATTATACTCCTCTCCCCAGAGCTTGGCCTCCATCTGTAGACGCACATCCTCAAAGTACACGTCCCTGTCCACGGACTCGATGTAGTGCTTTGCCACGTAGTTGGAGGCCCCCTTCCACTGCTGAGTGTGCAGGAAGTTGGAGAGCTTCTTCCTGGGGTGGAGGGGTAGATAGCAGAGGGCCTGCCTGGGCACTTGGGTCCACCAGGAACCCAGCCTGACCCACTGCATCCTTCAAAGAGCTGGGAAGAGGCTTAAGGGACACTGTTAAAGGTCTCTTATCCCACATCTTTTGGCCTCCAAACACCAGAGTGGAGGTTAGTGGGATACTCCATGTTCTCCCTGAGCCCATCCCCACAGGCAGGGCAAACGTGTGGTCTGATGGAGCCCAAACAGAGAGATGCTTGGCCTACAAGAAGCAGAGGCCGCTGTCTCGGTTTCTCGGCCAGAAATGTTGCAATGCCCTGGCTCTTAGGAGCCCCGGGGAGTCTGGGCAGGGCCCCTGAGAGCCAGGCTGAGTCACTTACGTCCTGAAGCACTCCCTCATCGCTCCACGGCCGAAGGGCTGAAAGACACCATACAGAGGGTTATCAGGCCCCATGCCCCACCCAGAAGCAGTCCTGAGTCAGGAAGAGATTCTCCCCTTGGACATCACCCACCAAATGGGTGCCTGGACCTCATCTCAATCCTAAAATTCCTGAGACCTCCCTCCGTCACCCCAGCACTAAAGCCTGACCGAACTTTTAGCCTTGGAGGCTTTGGAATGACAAGATCACCCTCCCCCCACCCTGGCTGAGAAGAACCCCAAGGGGGTGGAGATGTTATGGGGGTAACCATGCATGTCAAAGAATGTTTTTGCAGCCCTGCTTTTCTGTTTCCTATAACAGAAAAAGAATGGAGGGGAGCTTGGGTGGCTCAGTCACTTAAGCATCCGACTCTTGATTTCAGCTCAGGCCATGGTCTCAGGGTTGTGGGATCGAGCCCCATGTCTGGCTCTACACTCAGCAGAGTCTGATTGTCCCTCTCCCACTGTCCCTCCCCACCCCTCTCTCTCCAATAAATAAATAAAATCTTAAAAAAAAAAAAGAAAAGAAAAGGAGTGGAAACAGCCTATATGTCCATCAACAGTATAATGGATAAATCAATCAGGTCTACTCACTCAATGGGATACTATACAGCAACGAGAATGAATATATTCTGTTGTTCTACTATTCTATATTATTCTATATATTACAGGGCTAGCAAAACCAAGTACGAATGTCACAGACAAAATGCTGAGCAGAAGAAGCCATACTCAAAAGAATACATACGACACACCTCCATTTATAGGAAGAACACAAATAGGTTAACTACTCCAAGATGATAGATCCCGGGTTGGTACTTACCCCTGGGGGAACGGAGCAGTGACCGGGTGGGGGAGGGGGAGCTTCAGGGGGCCACTGGTTGTACGGAGAGTTCACTTTGTGAAACTCATCAAGCCATACCCTTTTCTGAGGGTGTGATACACGAAGAAAAAAAAAGTTTCGCACAACCACCCTCCCTCTGACAATGCAGGAAGTGCTCCATTTTCTAGTCTATTCCTTTTTTTTCCCCCCCAAAAGGATGATTGCGAGCCACTGAATCCCTCTTATGGCTCAGGTTTAGGTGGTGACCTGCTATTTTTAAAAACCGATATACGCATTTACAGTCAACTGATTTTTGACAAGAGTGCCAAGGATCATCTTTTGATGTATGATAAACATATAAAATGTCCAGAATAGGTAAGCCTACAGAGACAAGGGGTAAATTAGTGGTTGTTTAGGGCTGGGGGAGACGAGGGGATTGGGGATTGGCTGCTGGTGGGTAAGTACGGGGTTTCTTTTGGAGATAGTGAAATGTTCTGGAATCGATCATGGTGATGGTTGCACAACTCTGTGACTATACCAAAAACCACCAAACCCATATGCCTCAAACAGGTAATGTTGTATGGTGTATGAATTACATCTCAATAAAACTAGGGCACCTGGGTGGCTCAGTCGGTTGAGCCTCTGTCTTTGGCTCAGGTCATGATCCCAGGATCCTGGGATCGAGTCCCGCACTGGGCTCCCTGCTCAGTGGGGCGTCTGCTTCTCCCTCCGCCCCTCCCCCCTGCTCGTGATCTCTCTCATGCTTTCTCTCTCTCAAATTAAAAAAAAAACAAAACTATTATAAAAAATAAAATAAATACACAATAATATAAACATACTGCCCCAAAGTTAAAATAATTAAGTGAGTGTGAAGGGGAGGGAACAGGGACAGAAGTCTGCTCAAGAAGAATTCACACTCAGCCCTGTCCCCACAGGGCTGTGGATGGCTCACCTGCGACGCCATCTTGATCAGAACTTCATCTTCCAGCCACTCCCCGGTGACAGCATTGTACCTGCAGAGAAGCCACCCCAGGGCACAGCATCTGTAACATGATCCTCTCACCCAGTGGCTAAAAGTGGAAGCCTTTTCCTGGCTTCCTGCTGCCCTTGGGATCAAGACCACTTTACCCACAGGCCCAACTGACCTCCTGGGTTGGGTCTGTGGACGCTCTCCCTCCCCTCCCAGGCACGCCCCACCCCACCCCCCCACACACTAGACTGTAACTCCACAAACCAGGCCCGTGTCTGTCTTCTTCACTGCAGAGCCTGGTGCATGTGGAAGCTTAACACACGCATGTTGGATGAACGACTAAATAAATAAATATCCTTATTTTAACCAGTCTTCACAACAAATGGCGTGTCCCAGGTCAGGAGACGGCAGTGCCCTTGATCTTGCCAGGCACCTGTGTGAGGCCCAGCACAAGTAGCTGGGCTTGTGTCCTGGTGCAGGAAGGGGTAGGGGAGGCCCTGCCTCTGAGTCCAGCCGAGGAAGGGGCTGCTGGAGGACACCCAAGGCAGAGTGAGACAGAGAACGTTCTAGAACATTTCCATCTCTCCTTTCTCAGGAATCTTCCCAGAGCAAATCTGGCCCTAGACCTGGCCTCAAACAGATTTGCCTGGTAGAGAGAGCTCCTCAGCTCAGTAAATCCCTAAATTCTAAAACCTCCCCTATGGCTGAGGTGTTCTTAGTGTTAGCAGAGGCCTCCATGGCCCACCCTTCGGCGGGATGGACTCCAGACGGCTCCCAGCTCGGTGAGAACAGGCTTCTCAGAGCCTGAAACCTCTATGTGGAAAGACAAGCAGAGGCCTGGCAGGTAACCTCCCCCAGGCGGGGGGCAGGGATGCCGGCCAGAGCTGCAACTTGCCCGCAACCAGCCCATAACAAGTCCAGTGTTCAATATATAACAGCAACGATTATTATTATTACTATGTAAAGACCAAGGTAAAGGAAAAGAGTCTACCCTCGCTTCCAAATAAGACTGAAAGCTGAGAGGCACCTTGAGGTCGAGGGACAGGGGAGATATGGGACGTCAGATGGATCTTATTTGTCCTTCAAAACCACTGACCCCATACGGGTCAGAGTTGCTCCAAGTCACTGAGCCTTCACTATCTGCGGGGCGTTTAAACAGATCTCTTCAATTAACCTTTGCAGCAGCTCTGTGAGACTGGTACAATTACGGTGCCCACTTTCCAGCTGGGGAAACTGAGGCTCAGAGAGGTGAGTAACTTGCCCGAGAGCCAGGATGCAGACCCAGGTCAGTTGCAACCAGAGCCTTGCTCCTAGCCAGCCTGGGTACCATCCATGTGAATGGGAAATCTGTCTCAACAAAGGGGCGGCCTGCACCACCAGAAACAGAGGAGGAAGACTTCCGGTTTAGAAATTTTCTGGTGATTCTAGCCGTGGAAGCCTGAGCTCTCTCTGCCAGCAGCCGCTTCAGTTAGGAAATAGTTTGGCTTGGTCCCTGGACCCCACAGAGCCGGCTCAGCATGGGGGGGGGCGGGGTCTGCTTCCCCAGGGGCTTCCCTGGGTCGCCTAGTGTCCTCAGCCTGCAGGCCATGTGTCACCAACCAGTCACCATGCTGGCCTTAGAGGCAGGGAGGAAGAGAGTCCATACCCTACCCTATAAGGGGTCCCCTTAGCTGCTAGCACGGCCCCCAGAGCCTGCTAGGATGTGGGCCTCCAGCGGTGGGGAGGGGGTGCATGCCACGCTCTGAGCCATTTCCTCACAGGCAGGAGCAGGGACACGTGCAGAAAGGTGTAGAAAGCTACACCTTTTCTGCCTGCCTAGCATCTGGTCTCTCTTCTTTCAGTAACAGCACCCCGATTTCCCTTTGGGGAACCACCATGCTCCATTCTCAGAATATGTGGACTGGGTGGAAGTGATGCCCAGCACCTTCTGGCTTGGGGTATGTGATCCAGACATGGCCAATCAAAGCAAAGCTCCCTGGCACCTGACTGGTTCCGAGAGGGGCATATAACCGAAGCCGGACCAATGATATTCCGTTATGGAACTTTTGTTTAAAACTATTTGAGAAGGAAAAGACCCTCTTCTATTGGGTGAAATGAAATGTGAGGCTCTCAGGGGCATCTGTGCCACTGATACAAGAGAGTCTAATCTGAGGTCAAAGCCCAAAGTGTCCTTGGAGCATCTAGAACCAGCCGTACCTGAAGCCCACACGTGTAAGTGAAACATTCACTTCTATGCTTAACACTGTGAATTGGGTTTCTGTCACCTGCATTTGAAACAGAGTTCTGACTAATTGAAAGACACTGAACTGAGAGTCAGAAAGTTAGCTTATTAACTACCCAGGTAACCCTGGGCAAACCTCTACCTCCCCTGGGGCAATTATGGGACCTCAGGGTGTTGGCTTAGAGGATGCAGACTGGAGAGGTCTACAGAGGTCACAGGACAGGGGGATGGACTCCAGGATAGGTCCAAGAGCCCTCTAATATTATGCACAAAATTAGACATATGTGTGCAACTTTCTGGGATGGCCCTCATCAGATTCTCAAGAGTGGCCCCAAATACTTGACATGATTCCTACTTCAGGCTTTTTTAATGAATACACACACTTAGAGGCTTCAAACAGTGCCTGTCACATGGATTCAATACATAAGAGCTTCATCATAGTTATCCTCGGTGGTGGTATTCTGTGGTTTTTGCTATATTCTCGTTCTTCTTGAAACCCCCTGAAATAACTCCTCCCCCTCTATCTTTTCAAATAGGAACTCTAGACGCTCATAGTTCCATTTTGTGAATCTTCCTGGGGCCAAGGCATCAAAAAGCTCACATGCTATCTCCAGGTGTTCTCTCTCCCTTTGGTGGCAACTGTAGGGGCCACGTGGTGAGACAGTGGAACCACAAGATGGGAGAAGCCTGGATCCCTGAGCGGCCCCCAAGGGTCCCTGGGCTCTCACCCAACTTCACTCAAGTGAGAAGAACACCATTGCTGCACTGAGCTGCTGCAGTATTTGTTACTGCAGCATGGTTCAGCCCTGCATGACGAATAGGTACGTTAGAGGACCGCCCTGAGGAGTCAAGGAGATCTTGCGCAGCGCCTGAAGCATGCATAGATGCTCAAATGTTGGCAGATACTATTATTATTCCCTTCTCCTTGACCTCCACAGGTACTTAGGCCTCACTGATTATGAGCAGAAGCAGGACCCATACCCCCAAGGACTCCTTGAGACCTGGGGCCATACGGCACCCCCAGACAAGCTGCCGACCTGTGACGCGTGGCACATTCCGTGGCTATATCCTCCAGGTGGAACTCAGCCCAGGGGTCAGGCATGTGTTTGGCCTTCTCGATTGCATGCTTCCAAGCTTCCTGCAAAAGGCAAAGGGAAATGTTAGACCAGGGGCTGTGGGGTAGTGCTGCCCCCAGCCTCCTCCTGCCCCGTGATTTCCCACGTGTCTCCCAGCTCTGGGGAGGCAGACAACGTCAGTGAGAGAGAAATACTCCCATCAATTATCGTTTCAGAAACAAAGTTCCCAAAAGACCCTTTTTGTTCTCACATGGGCACAGCCTTCCTGTGGGCAGAAGTGACATATCTTAACTATGAAACCAAAGAAACATAATACACATAAGAAAGCATATTTTATTTTATTTTTTTTTTAAGATTTTATTTATTTATTTGACAGAGAGAGACACAGAGAGAGAGGGAACACAAGCAGGGGGAGAGGGAGAAGCAGGCTTCCTGCTGAGCAGGGAGCCCGATGTGGGGCTTGATCCCAGGACCCTGGGATCATGACCTGAGCCAAAGGCAGATGCTTAACGACTGAGCCACCCAGGCACCCAGGAAAGCATATTTTAAAGATTCATTTATTTTGTGGAGGTTGGGGCAGAGGGAGAGGGAGAGAATCTCAAGCAGACTCCCAGCTCTGTAGGGGAGCCCAACTCCTGGCTCCATCCCAGGACCCTGAGATCATGACCCGTGCTGAAATCAAGAGTTGGATGCTTAACCGACTGAGCCACCCGGGCACCCCCAGACTGTCAAACATTTTAATGACTGTTCATAACTAGTGCTGGCTGGGATGTGGGGAAACAGGTGCTCTCCCATAGGGTCAATGGGTCTAAACCTCCTCCAAAGGCAACCTGGCAATGTACTGAGATAAAAAATGTGAATTCCTGTATTCTGACCCAGAAATTTTACATCTAGAAACGTATGCTAGAGAAATACACGAATCTGCAAACATATATATAGAGGAGGCGTCGTTGTGTGCAAAACTGAATTCAACCCAAATGCCCATCTATGGAGACTGGTTGAATATATTTTGATTATATCCGTTTAAAATGCTAAGGAGCTCTTCCAAAAGACTGCGCTTACTCTATTAGTGGGAATTCTGGACCCTATCCGAGCCAACATCACCTTTTTGTAAATATTGTATAAATCATAAATATGCCCAATTTTATCGCCCTAAATGAAAATCATAGACAACACAACCTTCCTAAACTCAGAATATCTCCAACCATGCCAAAGATATTATTGTCTTTACATTAACAGAGCCCTAAGTTCTGGGCTCAGAGATTAGGAACAGATTCCCATGAGACATTCCAAGGTCCTGGGGACGCAGGAATATTCATCGTGCAGAACTGCCTTGCCCATTTCAGGCTTTTAGCATCCATGCCCTCTACCTTCTTAATGCCTTAGTGGCCCTGAATCATTGTGGGGACCAAAAATAGCCCCCCAAACTTTCAAAACCTATTGAGAACCAGGGCTTTTGGGTACTCACTGGGAAAGATGACCAAGGCATGTTATGGAGATTAGGCTGATTCTCAACAGTATCATCACCCAACCCCATTTCTTGTTTTTAAAAGCTCATTTTATTGCTTTTATAATCCCAAGGTGGAAGCTCTCCCTGTCCCCTCCCAACACTCCTCCACCCACACTGAGTCGCAAGCTCTTCCTGCTCTTTTCCTAAAGAACTCGAACCTCTGCCCTGTAGCCTCTTGCAGGATCAGTGAGGCCAAAACTCCTTTCCAGGCCAGAGGCCTGAGCCACGGGGAGGTGGCTGGATGGGGGCGCTGAACACTGGGGGTGGCAGGCCCGCAGCAATTCCAGACCTCCTCACACGCCATCAGGATCCCTCAGCCACCAGGACTAGCTCTGCAGGAGCCCAGCTTCCCAAGCGTGCCCCCGGCTTGAGCCTCAGCCTCACAGTTGGGATCCTGCTCAGAGGAGAAAAGGCAGAGCAACTGAGCTTTCTGAGAAACACACACACACGCGCACACACGGTTCACACAGGCTAGGGCTTCCTCACTGGGGCTTGGATTCCAATCTCTGCGAAGCCCAAAAATAAAGCCCAGAATTTCTTTCTTCCAATGTGGAAGCGAATTCACGCTTAATGAAAACATTCAGAAAAGAGAGAAGACAAAATTCAAATCCGTCACACCCCCCCCGCCCCACCCAGAGCAAGGATCGTCAATGCTTTGGACTTGTTCTTTTCCAGATCCTTCCTGTGCGTTATTTGTACGACTGGAATCACATTATAAAAACAATTTACAGTCTTTTGGGAGAGTGGGTACTTTAAATATAGTGATCTTGATTATTTTCCTGATTCCAAACGTATGATCTGCTTACTGTAAAAAACAGCGAACACTACAGAATGTGAAGTAGAAAGTGAAAGTACTTTCTGACCCACTGCTCTGAAAACCACAGCTGACGGCTGATGGAGAGTCTCTGTAAATTTGTTCCTCTGCATTTGTTAACACACAGGAATATAGCATCAGGCTGGGTTGATGCGTTCTGCTCTGCACCTTACTTTTCTCCACTTAACACGGGGCCTTGGATGTCCTTCCATGTCATATGTACAGGCAGGCTGGGTTGACCCCATTTTCCTTCTGCAGTTGTAAGACATACAATTGCATAAATGTACCTTAAGGTATTCTCTAACCTCGGTTGATGGATATTTGGATTCTCTCCAATAATCCCTAGTACAGGCAGTTCTGAAGTGAACACCCTCGTATGTAAACCCTTATGCAACTGTGCGAGATCTTGGTAGGACATATTTCTTGGAAGTGTAATTGCTGGATCACATTTAAAATGTACAAATTTGGAGTGGTCCTCCAAAAAATTTCTCCTAAATGACACTCCAAGGGGCAGAGAACACATGACTTAAATACTTTTTTATTTTAGTTTTTTTAAAGATATTTTTCTTTGAGAGAAAGAGAGCTCGCTTGCATGCACAAGGCGGGGGAGGGGCAGAGGGAGAGAATCTTCAGGCAGACTCCCCACTGAGTGGAGTCCCAACACGGGGCTGGATCCCACGACCCAACAGATCATGACCTGAGCCAAAACCAAGAGTCCGATGCTCAACCGACAGCCACCCAGGTGCCCCGCCTCACTTATATTTTTAAACACAAACATGACATCATGATTTACAAGTCAGCTGGAACACCTAACTCACTACTGACGTCACCGTTCACCTGTGGTTCTCCACAGTTAGACTTTGAGCTTGTCACCAATTTTTCCCTGTTATAAATAACCGGGCCACCGACATGTTTATTAACTAAAACAGTTCCTGAAGCTCCGTACTTAAAAAAAAAAAAAAGTACCACTGTCTCCTCTCCTATTCCAGCAGCCGTGAACAGCAGAGACAGACTCTGACCCCAGCCTGTCCGGGGACCTGCAGTGTTCTGAGCCTGCTGGGGGCGACGGACACGTGGCTCTCCCACTGCACTCTCAACCAGTGACTCAAACACTCCCTGACTCCCCCCGATTCAGTGAGGAGTATCAACAGAAACTGCCTCCTGGCCGGAGGCTGTGCTCCACCTGAAAAAAAAAAATCAAGGAAAAAAGTATTCCCGAATTTGAGGGCGTGTTATTTCACAGGATCAAAATTAGCTTTTTGCCAAACCCAGAAAAGAATCGTGCCACGCCTTGTTGGCAATGGATGGGTTTAATGCAACGGACTTTTCTTTTACAGCACAATATAAAAGGTCCTGGACGAAGATTCGTTCCCTGCACTCTGGTTCCCGCCCACAGCTGACTAACTGTGCGAACCTCCATTTCCTTGTTTACAAAAGACAATGAAGAATGTTTTGACTATTAGTGGCCAAACTTTTCTCCTGCCCCCACATCTGGGCTAGACGCATTCTCTCCCCCCGCCCCAAGAAATAGGGGCTCACTGAGATAACATGCTCATTACAGCTCAACAACCCTGAAATGAGCTGCAAATCACTGGTGTACTGTTTTACCCATCAGGTTAAGAAAAACAGGTGTTTACACAGGCCTGAGAAGTATGGTGACTAACATAACATAGTAAAATAAAATTTAAAAAATATGTATCAAAAAAAAAAAAGAAGTGGGTCCTCTCAGACACTGAGGGGAGGGAAAGCAGGTTCTGTGACCTCTGACAGCCTTCTGGAGGTACTTTCACTGCCTTGTGACCCGGCCATCCTGATCACCTCCCCAGGTGTGCACAGGTGAATGGCCCAAGGATGGGTCTCTGCTTATAATGCTATATAACGCTCGGGCACTGCCGAAAACCTGCCTGTTCACAGGGAGAAGATTCTATACACTTGGTATAGCTGTATGAAGCTATTAAGAAGATCAAGATGTGGGGCGCCTGGGTAGCTCAGCTGGTTAAATGTCCAACTCTTGGTTTCAGCTTGGGTCATGATCTCAGGATCATGGGATGGAGCCCTGCATCAGGCTCGGTGCTCGACGTGGGGTCTGCTTGGGATTCTCGGCCTCTCCCTCTGACCCTCCCCCCACTTGCCTGCACTCTCTCTCTCTCTCTAAAATAAGTAATATCTTAAAAAAAAAAAAAGATCAAGGTGAGGTGTGTTCGAGACACCTGGGTGGCTCAGTCAATTAAGCATCTGACTTTTTTTTTTTTTAATGGTTCAGCTCTTTTTTTATTTTTTTAAGATTTTATTTATTTGCAAGAGAGAGAATGAGAGACAGAGAGCATGAGAGGGAGGAGGGTCAGAGGGAGAAGCAGACTCCCTGCTGAGCAGGGAGCCCGATGCGGGACTCGATCCCGGGACTCCAGGATCATGACCTAAGCCGAAGGCAGTCGCTTAACCAACTGAGCCACCCAGGCGCCCAAGCATCTGACTCTTGATATCTGCTCAGGTCTCGATCTCAGGGCTGTGAATTCAAGCCCCACACTGGGCTCCACGCTTGGATTGGAGCCTACTTGAAAAAATCAAGGTGTTGGGCCACCTGGCTGGCTCAGTCGGAAAAGCACGTGATTCTTCATCTTGGAGGTCATGAATTCAAGCCCCACATTGGGTATAGAGATTACTAAAATGAATAAATAAATAAAAAAGATCAAGGTATTGAATGGGCAATCTCTAAGACTTATTGTTTAGGGGGAAAA